AAATGCTCTTGAACACCTACATGTGTTGTCTTTGTCTCAAACTTAGCTATTTTGCATTCACTATAGTGACCTTAGCAAGTGTTTGACTCTCCACCTTTTAATAAGTTCAAGGGGGGATATATATATTTATATCTCTAATCATCTCCCRTGAATACTTTTTCATTAAAACCAATTTTTGTTATTAGCTAATTAGTGGTGGTGGCAATTGTATATGACATATTATATTATTATTAATATAATCTAGACATCTTGTATAATATATTATTAAAAAAGTGAACGAACCTATGACTCCTAATTATTATATTGTATATTAATATTGTTATGTAATATGWATTATATTATATTGTATTATCATATTATATCAAGTTAATAATGTTAAGTAAAACTACCTACTTGTTAAATACCATAAAATGAAATACTTACTAACACCAAAAACTCATCTAAAAACCCTAACTTACTGACCTAACCTAACCTCCTGTTTGAAAGATATTTTTCTTTCTATCYGACTCAATTTTTTTGGTTTTTCTTTTTAAATTTTCATATTTACCTTTCAGATTTTGTAACTATTTTATAACAATAAATTAAATTTAAATTGTATACATGGTACATAGTATAACACTAGTAATTACATACTACATAATTGTCAATAATACATAGATCAGGCCATTTTTGAACCTGATTTTCCTTTATTTTTATTTTCTACTCTGTAACTCATTTAACCCATCACTGTATTTTGGGCTTTAAATTAATAAAATTATATCATATGCATATTTGTAAATGTTATGGTTAGGTATTGTTTATTATTGTATTATCTTGATCTAAGTATATATATATATATCTCATTAAACAATGTGTAAAATATCCTTGTTTCTGGTACCTAAGGATTATTATGTTAATAGTTATCTTATATTAAATACTGCATTTGTGTAAATTATGCAGGATCAAAAGAATAATAGAAGAAGTAGAAATAATGTTAATGATGAATGAAAGATGGAAGTGTAAAGTGATGGATATTGTAAAGTATTGTAATTTATATTAATAAATGAACAGTGTTAATTATACAGTGTTATTATATTTTATTTATTTACATTTTCTCCATATTAGGTATATAAMAAAATTACAGAATAACATACATCACAAAACAGAAAAATGTTCTATTATAAGTGCAGTTCTTAAAGCTTGTGCTGGACTGTTAATTTGGGGTTGTGTTGCTGCTTCTATTTCTGATATTTCAGCACTTAAAAGTTGTTTAATATTTTCAATATCATCTGGTGGTTGTGGATCTCTTTGTAATCGTGCAATATTATGCAATACTGCACATGCCTGAATGACTGCCATCGTTGTCTCCATTTTTAAACGAAGTCCAAAAAACAGTACTGGAAACCTGCGTTTCCAGACTCCAAATGAGCGCTCTACCACATTACGAGACCTAATTTGTGACTCATTATATAACCTTTCTGCATTTGTGGTCGGACATGCTAAAGGAGTTAGCAAATAATGTGAAAGTGCATAGCCCGAGTCTCCCAGAATTATGCAGTCAGAGAACTCTGGAAGCTCCATTCGTGCCTTTAGCCTACTATTTGCAAAAATATTGCTATCGTGTGCTGAACCTGGCCAACGAACAACTACATCCATAAATTCTAGATTAGCATTGACCAATGCTTGGACGTTAAGCGAAAAATACCCTTTTCTATTGCGGTATAGTTCACCATACTCTCTTGATGGAGACTGTAATTTTATGTGGGTGCAATCTATTGCCCCTATAACTTTTGGAAACCGAGCCAAAYCATAAAATTGTACCTTCAGCTCCATTTTCTCTTCAGGCGTTTCTGGTAATCTGATATACCTATAGAAACAAATGGTAAATATACTTATTATTACCATAGTTATGGCCAAACTGTTATAGCAGGTGTTGCTAAAGCCTAAAATGTTGCAAGTGTTACCTATATTTAACATAACTTACCTACTACTTAAAAAWGCTAGTGCATAACTGACTCGTTTAACAATTTTTCCAGCAGATGCTACACTAATACCACCAAAGTCACCAACTGTGATTAAAAAGTTCCCAGTAGCATAAAACCTTAATGTGACGAGCAACTGTGTTATTGGATCAATAGAGTTATTTCTGAAAAATATAATAACTTATTGTAAAATAAAATTGAGAAAAATGAGATCTTGTTTGCTAAC